AGAGTCCTCTCTCCATCAGGATCCACCTCCTGTGCCATCTTCAAACCCTCTGTGGTTGCTATGTCCACGTTGCATGGAACAACCACCAAAATGATAGTTTCTTGTCTTGTGATGTACTTGTGGATCAGTTGCTTTATCTGAAAGTATTAATTCATATTCAATGTTAAATTAGAAGTTGGTCGCCAGACTATCACAGGGCTGACACATAGAGACAGACAACCATTCACACTCACATTCACACCTACGGCCAATTTAGAGTCACCAATTAACCTGCATGTCTTTGGACTGTGGGAGGAAGCCGGAGTACCCGAAGAAAACCCATGCTGACACAGCGAGAACAAACTCAGTACAGAAGGTTGGGGTCCTGTTCGAATCCCCCCGCACCAGAAACAGTTGTTGCCTCATAGCATAGTACCCCTCTGGTATCACTGGGTGGCAGGAGGATACCCCCCTGCGGAGGGAGATGGATGGTCACCTACTGAGTTTGCCGTTTCCCATTTACCTGTACTCATTCATTCATTCATTCATTCATTCATTTCCTCACCCCTCTTGAGGGTCGCGGGGGGGCTGGACCCATCCCAGCTGACATTGGGCGTAAGGCAGGGTACACCCTGGACAGGTCGCCAGACTATCACAGGGCTGACACATAGAGACAGACAACCATTCACACTCACATTCACACCTACGGACAATTTAGAGTCACCAATTAACCTATCCCCAGGAAACCGGAGTACCTGGAGAAAATCCATGCTGACCTGGGTCTGGGTTCAAACCAGGAACCGTCTTGCTGTGGGGCGACAGTGCTAACCACTGCACCACAGTGCCGCCCTACCTGTACTCAGCTAGACACGAAAAAGTCCCATTGTTAGGCACATGATTGGGAGGTGGCATCAAGTTAAAAACACATCTGGGGAACCTGCCTCACTCTCACTCTTTACCCCAGTATACAGATTTTTTTTTTCCTCCAGGTAGGTCTGATGGGGTGTTTAAAACAAGGGACCTAAACAGTCCTTTTCATGAGCATCCAATGTCATCTGAAGAAATTACTGATAAACAAATAAACATGTTCCATATTCGGTTCTTCAAATACTTACAACTGAGAAACTTCATCAACAAAGACACAATAACAGCAACTGTGTGGTTGCTCCCAGCTTCACTGTGCATGCATTCAGTTTTGCCAAGTGATAATGCAGTTAGTTACGGAAGGTTTGGAAGTGTATCAGCTATATTAACTGGTACTGAAGTAATTAACTGGATCGTTTTATGAACAAGTGCACTGATTTGACTGATGGAAATGTAAACACACACACAAGGCTGCTCTGCTGCTTCACATTTCCTTTGGTACAATGATGTATTTATTTATTTTTTCATTTTTAAACAGATTGTAATTTTTTACATTTGCGGTGCTTGCACAGGCAGTGCGGCTTCCATGGTCAGGGTCGCAACTACAGGTGACTACAATGGACACGTTTAGTGTTGGGCATTCTGCAACAGACGTGCCATGCCACAACCGTTTCCCATGTATTTTGGCCATTTCTTGCTTTTTGGTCAAGGTCAGTACAGTAAGTCACTGAGACACACAAAGCCCAGTTTTTTTCCTTAGATTTCTTTTCAGGATAATCTGGACAATCACTGTCGATACTGACAGTGTGTTTTGGGGACACTTAACGAGCATACCTGGTCTCCAATGTTCTCATCTTGTCCCTGCAAAGCCACCCTGGAAATGCCGGGCAGGTCAATGAGCATCAGGTCTGGAGCATCAGAAGAGGTGATCTCCATACTGATGAGGTCATTACTGATTCCCAGCCCGTCCCCAGCCAATTTATCCTGAGCTGGGGAGAGAGAGGACATGGTGTTTGATGATCACAAAGGATGGAAGGGCAGATCACTGAAACCTAAAAAAATAATCATTCCATTGATACTCGGCTTTTGATAGTGAAATTTTAAGGTCCAGTGTGTAGGATTTAGTGGCCTCTAGCCATGATGTTGCAGAACTGAAACTGCTTCCATGGGTCAAACGTGGAGGAGAACTACGGTGGCCGATGTAAAAACACAAATGGTCCCTAGCCAATGTTTGCTTTATCTTTTCTGGGCTACTGTAGGGACAACATGGCAGACTTTGTGGCAGAGGAACCGCTCCATGTCTAGATATAAACGGCTCATTCTGAGGTAACAAAAACACAGCAATTCATAGTTTCCAGTGAGTATGCAGTCATAAAAACAGTTATGTATATTACCATTTCTGCCAGTAGATGCTCCTAAATCCTACACACTGGACCTTTAACAATGCTGCATACTGTACCTTCTCTTATCATTTCCTCCACATCTTCAGGGTCTTCTATCTTTATTGAGTCTTCTGTCAGAATCGACTCAGCCTCAGAGTCTTCTATGTCTGCCTCACAGGTCTGATAGCTTATCTTCCCAGACCACCCCTCTCCTTCGTTCTTTCTCTTCATCTTCAGTTCAAGAGGACATCTTGTCACAACGCCTGAATTAATGAGGAGGCAAATGATGAAAGATTGGGGAAAGTGAAATCCAATATGCTTCGTGAAATTATAGAAAGCAGTAGGCTATCTTAGAAAATCATCTTTTTAAAGAAATATTTTAAAAGAATAAAAAAAAATATTACAACTAAAAACATGTTCCAGGCATAGTACATATGCTAGAAAAGGCCAGTATCGCCAGCTCTACATGCACACATGGTAAACACTATACCTGCTCAACATTGTGAGTCTTTGTGATCATATAGGCATGGTGACATTAGTACTTAGGTCGAAGCACCTTAACACAACCTCAAAGAACCACTAGCATTCTTGTAGACTTGTAGATTTTTATTTATAGCAAAGGTCCAAAAGCCCATTTCCTCTGGAGAGTCAAAATACCTGTTGTGCCCTGCTGTTTTATTGCTCTGAGAGTATTCTCAAAATGTTTGTGAATACGGCACCAGCTCTACAAAATCTTCCATTACAAAAAATTGTTAGCCCCACCACACCTAATATTATATTCTATAAAAAATATATATATAAAAAAACATTTTACTTAATTACTGAAAACAGCAGAAAAAAAGACATCCACACCTGTTCCATCTCAATTATCCGACGGGGTGAGAAATTTCACTAATCCTTCTGATATCTTACTATATAATGAAGAAAACTGTCTGTGGGTGTGTCTGTTCCACAATTTTCTCCTCACTAACTTGGTCAATCCATGTGAAATTTGGCACAGTGGTAGAGGGTCATGGGAGGATGCCAATGAAGCAATATTACATCAATTGGCCAAAGGGGGGCGCTATAGCAACCAACTGAAATTGCAAACTTTGAATGGGCATATCTCATGCCCCGTATGTCGTAGGGACATGAGACTTCGCACAGAGATGCCTCTCCTCATGAGGAACAGATTTGCCCCAAGACCCCTTAACTTCTGGTTATATAGATTTTCCGCCATTTTGAATTTTTTGAAAAACACTTAAAATCGATCTCTTCCTAGGAAGTTTGACAGATCTGCATGAAACTCAGTGAACATAATCTAGGGACCAATATCTAAAGTTCCCTCTTGGCAAAAGTTGGAAAACTTAATAAAACTGAGCTTCTATAAGGCAATGAATATTGCGGAGGGCGTGGCTCATCACATAAAGGTGTATAACATCTCAGGGGTTTCACCGATCACCACGCAACTTTTATTGACCCGATCAAACAAAATGGGGGTGCTAGAGAGCTAATTTGTTATCTAGGCCTAACCGCCATATCGATTTTTACTAAACTTGGTAGATACACTGAACAAAAATATAAACGCAACACTTTTCTTTTTGCTCCCATTTTTCATGAGCTGAACTCAAAGATCTAAAACATTTTCTATACACACAAAAGACCATTTCTCACAAATATTGTTCACAAATCTGTCTAAATCTGTGTTAGTGAGCACTTCTCCTTTGCCGAGATAATCCATCCCACCTCACAGGTGTGGCATATCAAGATGCTGATTAGACAGCATGATTATTGCACAGGTGTGCCTTAGGCTGGCCACAATAAAAGGCCACTCTAAAATGTTCAGTTTTATCACACAGCACAATGCCACAAATGTCGCAAATATAATAAAATGTGCACGTAACTCGATCGAAAATGTAATAAAACCCAATAATGTAATAACTTCACCAATAATGTAATAAAATATCCTGGCTGATATTGTAATAACATTTTTACCGATAATGTAATACCTTATTACATTATTGGGAATTTATTACATTTTCAGGAGGGTCTTTTTTTTTTCAAAACTTATAATGTAATACTTGACAGATAATGTAATATATATGTTCATTTTCAGTCCAGAGTTCTACATTATGAATGCTTATGTATACTCTCTTCAAAAGAAGTGCTACTGAAAGTTGTTTTGTTGGTTTGTGGTTGTTTTCATGAGGTAGTGATTTGTTGGAAATCTGTGAAGTGAAGGGGTACGTTTAGGGAAGAGTTACCTGGGGTCTCCAGTGCTGCTCAGAAGCTTATCTGAGCTGGAATTCTGGTCTCCCAAGGAGGTAAGTCCATCACCCACTCAGTAGGACCAGGATGTAGTTGCATATCCCTGAGTATCTGCACATGTGCATATGGCTGTATGGTACTCAAGGTCTGCAATTTAACCCAATAGTCATTCTGTTGTTTCAAATCCAGTGTATATAACATTCCCAATAATGTAATAAGGTATTATGGTAAAAATGTTATTACAATATGAGTCAGGATATTTTATTACATTATTGGTGAAGTTATTACATTATTGGGTTTTATTACATTTTCGATCGAGTTACGTGCACGATTTATTACATTTTCAGGTGTTATTACATTTTCAGGAAATTATTACATTATAGGGTGCTACACGCCTCAAAGTGACTGGAGAAATGTAACTCTAATTGACAACTGGGTGGCGCTATAACAACAGAAAAATGCTTAAAAATGGCTCAAATGCGACTGATCGCTGTGGCTCCCCCTGTGGCCGAATGTTTGTTTGTTTTTCCTAATTTTTGGTATGACTAAGTCATGGTATGGTGTGCTGTACATAATCACGGAAACTGTCAGTGTGTCATTCTGTCAGTCAGTCATTCTGTCTGTCCCACGTTATTCTACTCACTGACGTGGTCAATCTATGTGAAACTGCACACAGGCATTGAGGATTGGCATAGGTAGAAGGTGACAAAGCTACCATATGGACTAGTAACTAGTAATTAACAAGTAATGTAACAAGTACTTGGTATACAAATGGTAATTTTGCAGGTGAGTTTTTTTTTTAAGCTCTGATGTTTTGTTTTGTGTTTTTCCTTGTGGCATACTTGCTGCCTGGCACTTTTTGATGAAGCCTATAAGTTGGCACGGTGTATTTACACCTGCTGTAAAACCAGCCATGCAGGTTTGGAGATTCCCGTCTCCCAGCTGATAGTAGTCACCTTCACTGTAATGAAAAATTACTTTATTCTTTCCACAGTGGTGGAAATTGATGAGGTGGGTGTGCTACTAGGTAGATAGGTAGGTTACTGATGAGAAAGTGGGCATACTCTCCTATGTTTTACAATGGCTTTTTAGCTGATAGGTGGGTATACTGTTAATGGATAGAAAAAGAAGTGGGTATACCCCGTATACCTGAGTATACCCTCCACTACACCACTGTCTTTCCAGAAAACAATGTCCTAGTTACAGTTTTAACTGGAACTTCTTTTTCCCAAAGACATATAGTAGTCCCTATGAAATCTGTTCTAGGGTGACCATATTTTGATTTCCAAAAAAGAGGACACTCGCCCCGGCCACAAGATAGCCTACTTAAATCATACTTGCAGTTTACTCAAAGATGCCTTATAATTTTAATATATTTAAAGTTTATATGTATGGATAGAAAATTCAGTTATATTACAAAATAATATCTCTCAAAGACAGAAATTTAGATAGCCTAGTCTTCTCAGAGGTTACTCAACTTGCTTTTGTTATGCCTAAAATAATAATCTTTTTACAAGTTTCAATTGTACAAAAATAAATATAAATGTAGAATAAATATAAAATCTCTGGAATGAAATAATGATAGAAATAATGTCTCTTCTGTATTAGAAAATCCAACTTTGAGGTCCCCGGCACCTTTATCAGACACAGAATCATATGTGCCAGCTTTGCACACGGTGCACTCAGCCTCCCATATATCCCGACCGGGTCGGGACGGTAAGTTGGGAATTTTTTTCTGCAGTTCATCTGTGAAGCCGCACTTGCACTTCGGCATCTTGGAAGCTTAGAATAATGCTGCGCCGCGGGTGTCTGCTGCTTCCTCGTTGTGAGTGTTGGAGATCCGCCAATAAGGCAGCCTCTCGGGGATTACGCGCGCGCGCGCGCACACACACACACACACACACACACACACACAAGGAAAACCGGACATTATCATCAATTTATAAACACCCCCCGGACGCCCCGGACAGGACGTGAAAAGTGGTCATGTCCGGGCAAAAGAGGACGTTTGGTCAGCCTACTGTTGACAGCATCAAAATTAGGCTGGTGAACACTGTGGAGCATCTGGCAAGAAATGGCCTTTTCTAAGACAGTAGATTGCAGGGGACCAAAACAGAGCTGAGACAAAACAATACATGACTCCGCTAGGTGGACAGAAACACAACTTTGAATTAAGTTTAGTGTTACTGTGTCAAATAAACTTTTAGGGAACAGATTACACAACATCTTTATAAGGTGATAATGCATCAGAGTGATGTGTTTTTCTGCTTGTTGTGGCTCCTCTGCATCATGGCCACAAATCCGTATCTGCAGCTTTAAATATTGTCTGATAGCTACTAGGGGTCTTACCACTTCCTCTTGGCAGAGCCACCCCTGACAGCGCCTCCAACACGGAGCTCTTCCCGGAGCTCTGGTCTCCTATCACGGCGACGGTAGGCAGCACAAAGTACTCCTCTACACCCAGAGAGCGAATACGGTCGATGAGGTCGATGCAGGGACGCACCTTCTCCTCAAACTGTTGGTTCAGAGTGGCCATGATGATGATGACTTCTTCTCTCGTGTGAAGAAACTAACGTTAGCCTATATATTTAAAAACTTTTCACTGAAATGAGTTGTTGCAGGTGCTCACCGGAGGACACTGCGGGTGGCGCTGCAGTTAAAGAGTCAGGTTTCGTTTCCTTTACTTTCATTTCTTGTGATGTCAATGAGAGAAATACCAGCAGAGTATGGCCCAATCCCAAACCACTCCCTACCCACTACCACTTCTCTACCGAAGCCGTTTCTCAATATGCGTTCTTGTGCGGACTTGTGTTCTTGTGGACTTGTGACACGTCATCAGTCACAGCCCAAGTACTGTTCCTATTCAAAGTGCACATCTGGCCAAATTCAGTCCAAATTCCCGGGTGTGTTCTCGCCACACCCATTTCACCGGGGATGCATTGGAGCAGACTTGTGTGGACTTCAGACAGCCAGGTATCCCAGCATGCATTTCGCAACAATCATTGGAAAATGACAAGTGAGGGAAAGGCGCACAATTGTAAGCCATAATTACAGATATGTTACTGTTGTTTTGTCACAGAACGTAGTGTTTTCATGCGTAGTTTAAACGTCAGAACTGTGGTCGATGTTTTAATATAGAGCCCAGTTGAATGTGACTGAGGTCCGCTAGATGACAGCGGTGTCAGCGCTCATGTGCGCTGACACCGCTGTCATCTAGCAGTATCAGCGCACATAGATAATAAACGTGTGTATGAGCGCTCAGGCTGCCCCAGAGAGCAGCCTCGTGGCTGATATCTCTGTAGTGGTTAAATATGAAATGTAATTCGTTTGGGGTATGTCTAATGGGCAATATTCAGTCTCAGTATAAGATATATTCTTATATTATTAAATGTTGTAACATGTTATTGTTCTATGCATTCTTTTGCTTATGTATGTGTTTTTACCATTCAATAATATTTTTAATAATTTACTGTAATTTATTCATTGTATTTAAAGATTAATTGTATTTATTGTAGTATTTATTCAACAGCATTTTAAAGGGCCAGTGTGTAAAATGGGTTGAAAACCGTTGAAAACAGTGACATCAGTGGTCAAATTCTAGATTGCAGGGCTCACTCACTCACCCCTCCCATCGGGTAAATGACGGTGGCCTCGTAGGGACAAAAAGCCTTGCACAGACAAGAGTTTTGCAGGAGCAGGTCTATCTAGCAACAAGGTGAATGTTTATTTAGAAATCTAAACCATGTTACGATTTTGTAATGAATCCCTCTCGAGCAGGAGACCAGAGGAGCGTTCGGGAAAAAGGCCTGTTTATTTGAGCACTCCAAAAACTCCGGTAACACTCCAGGGGGTAAAAGACTCTGTCCCAAACTCTGACTCTTCTAGCGTAACACACACACTCCATGCACACATACTCGTTTACAATACCTAGCGGGCACCCCCTCCCCTCTCTGCTCCACCAATCTCCAGCCCGCACACTGACTGACAGCGTAGCCTGTAAACAGTGCTCAGCTGTTTATTTAGCCTAGCAATATCTCCGGACTATAGTAGCTGCAATGGACGACTTTGAACGCGATTTTGAAGAGTTTCTTGTAGTGGACACAGACCCAGAGCCATACCTGTTTGAGCCGGAGCACACAGATGAGGAACTCCATGTGTTTGATGCTGAGCGGGCGAGAAGAGAGGCTGAATGCACAGAATGGGATTCA